AAATAAATTAAATTTTAATTTTTAAAATAATTTTTGATTTACAGAAAAGTTGCAAAGTTCCTATGTATACTTCACCCAGCTTCCCCTAATGTTACATCTTCTATTACCAAGAGACACGTGTCAAAAAAGGGAAAGTAACATTGGTGTATTAATATTAACTAAGCTACAGAAATTTTCAAACCTCACCAGTTGTCCACTAATGTTTTTTTACTGCTTCAGGATCCGATCTGTGATACCACATTTAAACTATTGAGATCTTTGTTGAAGGTGTGTTTGGGAATGGAGGGAAATGAATAAGACAAAATCATTTTCCATTCTGTTGAAGACTGAACAAAATGCCTGAGGATTCAGTACATGGCAAATTGCTTTGACTCTGGTAGGCCCCTGCTCAGGGGCTACCTGGGTGTTAGCACCTTGCTTGTCTCCCTTCCGTGTCCGGTTCCCAACAGGTGGCGGTGACACCCTGTGGCATATGATTGAGTGATCCATGTGCCGAAAGCCTGGTGTCTGCTCTCATAGCCCTAGGCCCCATCACCCGTTGCACTAAATGTAAGTTTTTGGAGCGCAAGAGAGCCCTCTTGCTGCTGGGAAGTCCATTAGAGCAGTGGTTACAATTTAGTGGTCAATAACAGGGCTGTGTTGTTAGACTCCCCGGTTTAAACCCTGCTTCTACTTTGTGACTTTCAGCAAGGACTTTAGCCTTTAAGTTTCACTTTTCTCATCCCCATTTCGCAGAGAGGAAATGAGAGTTGTAGTGAGGTTTAAATTGTGTAATTTTCAGAGATCGTAAGGAAGAGGGCCCCTACAGAGTAAGTACTTAGTAAATGTTACCTGCTATTATCACTGTGTTCCAGAAACCGTGGGTGGCCCAATCTCCCAATTGGGTGGTCAAGAAGTAACCAAGACTCAATGTTGGAGCAAAAGCATAAGGAAATCAAACTTTTATTTATTGTCCAGAAGAGGATGAGAGTTCTAAGGAAGACTATTCCATTGATAAAAGGAAGGAAATATGAAACTTGGTAATAGGATTCTAGAAAGCAAAGAAAATGAAAATTTTCACTACTGCAAATCAGGTGGGGCAAAGGTCACGCTAATCCTCTTTGTGTGGGTCCAATTTTAATCTATTTGTGGCTGAAGTGAGCACAGTTCTCATCACCATCTTAAGCTTAGCTCACATTTAAGCAATGAATAAACAGGAAAAATGTCCTAATTTGTAGAGATTAATTTTATAGTGACCATCAGGAATACTTCAGTTAGATTTCTACAGAAAAAGGCATATTGTATAACTTTTATAATAAACATAACTCGGAATTTGCATGGTGTTTGGCATTTTTCAGAGACCTTTCATACTCCCCTTTTCATGTGACTCTTGAACTAAGGGAGGGTGTAGGAATTATGATATATATTTTGTTGAGATAGAAGCTCAGAGGGATGAAAGCATATCAGAAAGGGCCTCATAGCAGAAGCGATGCCGCGTCAAAGCTTGAGGGATGTGAAGGGGGTTCTCCAGGTAGATGGGAGGGGGGTCCAGATGGAAGTGCAGCAGAAGGTAGGGAATGGTGAGAGAGGAGAGGGGAGTTCTTTTTGAGACCAAACACCTCAATACATCTGATGCTTTGACTAAGGGGAGCAATGTAGAGGCAGGGCTTTCTGTGCCAGGCTAGGAGTTCAGACTTCATTCTCTGCAGTGAGTTGCTTTGAGGCAAAGGACAGTAACACGATTAGGTTTCAGTTTAGGAATATCACTATGGCAGTAGTATAAAAGATAAACTCAAGAGGAAGTTAGTGGGGAGGTTCAAGAGAGCTGATATATTCTAAACCCGTTGGTCATGGGATCTCAGGTCCCAGATGGGTGACAATGAGCAGAAGCAACCAGCCAGTTTAGCACCAGCAGCAGAATACTGCCTGCAATGAAAGCATGAGATTTAGGGGCAGAAACCACTCGTTCCTGCTCTGGCTTTATCAGACTTGGAAATTTTCCTGATGCATTGCCATTTAATTTCCTTTTGCTTACCTCTCTGTGTAATGAGAGTGCAGTATTTGGTTTTTGTTTTTTGTTTTTTTTAAAGATTTTATTTATTTATTTGAGAGAGAGAGAATGAGAGAGAGCACATGAGACAGGGGAGGGTCAGAGGGAGAAGCAGACTCCCTGCCGAGCAGGGAGCCCAATGCGGGACTCGATCCAGGGACTCGATCCAGGGACTCCAGGGACTCCAGGATCATGACCTGAGCCGAAGGCAGTCGCTCAACCAACTGAGCCACCCAGGCGCCCCAAGAGAGAGAGTGCAGTATTTGTATAGTATCAACTTAAGTATGTTAAATAACATCGATGGAGTACTTCCAACAACAAATCAGGACTTGGGAATGAAGACAAATGTGAAAATGTCTTAGGCTGGTCCCAGAATCCTACCCAGGATAGAGGGTTCAGCAGGCTGCCTAAGCTATGTTGCAGGGTGGATATGGAGAGTTTAGAATCCAATTTTGAGCTGTTTCTATCATAAGTAATGATTCCAGGGACTTCCACGTTTTATTGTCTCCCTGGAAAGTAGAGTGGCCCCACAGAGTTATACAGATATTTCAAGTTTAATATTGTATTACACCCAGGGATCTCTCTTGAAACCTGGTAGGAAACAAAATAAAATGTCCACTAGGTTTGTATGGATAACCATCTCAATTTGTTTATTCTACTTGCAAGTGCAGAGAATTGACTTCCTGCCAGAGAGAGAACAGGGTGTGATAGATCTGGGACAGTAAACTGAGCAGACGAAGTGCTTTGTTTTTAGCATGCTGGACAGGATCGCCCCAGGACCTGAACTTTTTATATCTAACATAGGAAACCCAAAGAAATGCCCTTCCCTCCTGAATCTGGTCCTGTGGATTTTGTCAGGACCTCCATGATCTTTTGAGTGCCTTTGTAGCACTTATTAAGAGAGAACAGGCTACCACAGGGGACCACTTTCAAAGCTGATCCGTCACATGCCCAGGAGGTCTGTAATCTTATCAACAAACAAATCAATTTCCTAACATGATATGAAGAGGGTAAAGAGAGAAATCCCTGAGTAGAAGCTGGCCAGGGAAATTCTGATGCTGACAAAATTTTGGCAGTGGAAGTTTGTTTACAATTTCTCTTGGAGGCAGAAGAAAGTATTTTATGCAGTAGCATGGTTTCTAGAAAGTTAACTGTAAATGTAATTTTTGCAAGTGGAATTTTACTTTAAATGCACTTCAGGAGTTAGCCGTTTAAAGGATTCTTTTGGAGAACCTCTTGTGATCATTCTTTATCCTTCATAGGTTTGTATTTTTTATACTCTTTGCCCATCCCATTTTTCTAAAGCAAGAATTATTTGTCATTGTCTTACAAGCTAAATAAATTGGTCTTGGCTTTCTGAAACAACTTCTTTGGTCTTTTCTTTTTTCCCCCTTTTTTATTTTATTTTTTTTAAAGGTTTTTTAATTTATTCATTCGAGACACAGAGATACAGAGAGAGAGAGAGAATGTGAGCAGGGGGATAAGCAGAGGGAGGGGGAGAAGCAGGCCCCCCGCTGAGCAGGGAGCCCGATGCGGGGCTCGATCCCAGGACCCTGGGATCATGACCTGAGCCAAAGGCAGACGCTTAACCATGTGAGCCACCCAGGTGCCCTCTTTCCCCCCTTTTTAGATAAAAACAAGGTTTTTTGTTTGTGTTTAAAATCCTCCATTTTCTTATTTCTTTTCTTCTCTTTTTTTTTCATTTCCTAGAACGACCATATGATAAGAAGCCTAAGAATTTATTGACTTTGACTTTTTATCAAGGCAAAACCCAGAGAGAAGGAGGACAGCCCCAACCACCCCACCACCTGCCTATAGAAATGTACATGTATCCTACTGTCTTGTCACAGGGATCCTGAAATGCCATCCTAATACTTTATCTTATGTTAACAGATTCTCCTTTTATTTTTTAAAAAGATTTTATTTTTAAGTGATCTCTACATCCAATGTGGGACTCGAACCCACAATCCCGAGATTAAGAGTCACACCCTCCACTGACTGAGCCAGCCAGGTGCCCCTAGAGCTTCACATTTTAAAATACCAACACCCTGGAGCATTATTGCATTAAATGGTCTATTACAGCATAACACTTAATGGAAAATTATCTGATTATTTTTCTCCTGGCAATGAGAAAAATGGGAATTTTAATGGGAGTGTAGGAAAAAAGGGGTAATCTTGGAATCTGGGGCACCATCCTAGAAAGAGAGGCTTAACTAAAGGAGAAAGTTCCAGGCTGCCAAGAAGCTGCAGAAGGGATACTGAGTGCCTGGGGAGTATGCTGGAGAAGCTGTTCAGTATCAAAAGAAAGGAAAATGGGAAGCAGAACTAAAGTAAACTTGGATTCCTGCACAATTTAATTTAAGGAAGACTGGATTTTCTTAGCACATTTAACTTCAGTAGTTGCCAACCATTTGAGGAGAAAGGGAGACCTGAATAGAGACCTTTTCTTTCCAATATTTACTGATCACCCATATAGACTAGGCACTTTGCTAAGTGCTCATCATACAAAGTAGAACCGGATATTTTTGTCCTCAGAGAATTTATATTCTTTAAGGAAAGGCCAAAAGCATAAAAAACTAAGGAAAATATATTTTCAAGTTGTAATATGTGCAATGAAGAATACAAAACCTATACTTTTTGTATTTTCTGTCTTCCACTCTACAATTTGACTACCTTGCAAAATCTGTGGTACAACAGAGAGAAGTTGGCAATGATTACCATCTTCATTAATTTACATCAACTACTATTGATTTAGGTCCCATGTAAGACATCCTGTGTAGGACTTCTAGGGATAATCTTATGGCACTCTCAGAACCCTTGGAAAGGCTGTAAACTTAACATTCTAAGCACTGAGGGGCTCCCCAGAGCCAGCTCTAATCATTAAGTAGGTGAGGTGGACCGCTGTCTGTGAGGTTTGATTTTACGATTCATCTTCTGTCTGCTATCCCCAACCTACCAAAATGCCCACCCTTCAGTGGCATCTTCAGAAATTCCAGGGTTGAGAATTCTAATAGAATGGCCTAAGGAGAAGAAAGCAGGGAAAGGTGATTAGTTATGGAGCTGCTGGTGATAAGAAGAAAGAGGCATAAGGAATATACCCAGAGCCCCAGAAAAAAAGGTATTGAGAAAACTGATGGAAAGTGTTCCATGTAGGAGAGTGAACTCATGACACTTCCAGATCAGTAACCCAGGTAAAGAGTAGAGTGGGGAACAGAATTCCTCCTAAACTTTAAGGGTAGAGTGGGGAGCCACTTGAGGTCCCTGCTTGTTCAACTGTTATAGGGGACTATAAATCTATATTATGCTAGGCTGCATGTGCAGTCCTAAACATTCTTTTATGCATGTGATTACTAAAGCCACTACAAGGAGAAGTCAGGCAGATGACTTAAGTTATTTCTCTATTACAAGGATCATTGTAGATAGAATACCGAGGGACAATGTAAAATATGGCTATGCCTTGTCTCTCACTAGTGAAAGAGGTAATAAGAGGAATATGAACTAGAGTAATCAAGTAAAACTGCTATCTTCTTGAGCCTTTTCATGGGCACACATTTTTTTATCTGCCCGGCATCCTTTGGGGGGAACACATCCCCCACCCTCTTTCCAAAGTATTCCTGGTCAGGTTGTTTGGCCCAAGGATGGGTATGTGGTCCAGACTCAGTCAATCATTTTATCTTTCTAGTCACAGTGATTAGTTCCTGAAAGAGCATTTAGCCAGAAGTCTCTCTGGTTATTTACCAGCTATCCAGAAAAATACCCTTTTTCCAGGATCATAGGCAACTCTGGAGGCGTGAGGCAGCCAGAGTCCATCTGGCTGACACATGGAGTCAGCTTGAAGATGAAGCCAAGCAGAGGCAAATGGGATAGGGAGTGAGGGCGGAGAGGTCCTAACCTATACCATATCCACTCTAAGAGATCCTTGTGGGCGTGAAGCTGAGTAGAAGGGCAGGTTTCTACCAGTCTCTACGTATGGGGCAATCAGGTCTCTGACTCACCATAGAACTAGTTGTCCTCGTCAGAAGGGGACATTTCTCCTAGGACATTTATCGTGGAAGGGACTGATGATAGCAAATAACCAGGTGGGACTATTTGCAGTTATTTGCCTTTGGGTAACTTCGAGTTATACCTGTCTGCTCTCTCTGAAGCCTTCCTGTGCACCGCATTCTCCACCCCTCTCCCCAACCCCGCTGCCTTCTGTCAACCTGCATTACCATTCACCTAGGGGAAAAATGAGTGAGGAAGAAATAGCAAGACTGAGATAGCATCCAAACCCAACATAATTAGTCTTCTTGTCTTTCTCAGACATCAGTCTTCAGAATGTTTGAAGGCAGAACTGTGTCTCCCGCTCCTGGATGGTCAAGGTCTTACACAGCACCAGAACTTAGGAAGCATGTCAGTGAACATGAGTGAATCTGGAAGGGCCTCTATTCGTATTTAGCCTGAGAAAGTCATTGCTTTGGATGAAAGCACTGCCTCTCCAAGCATCCTCTTAAAAAATGCAAATACTCAGAGGAAATGTAAGGTACGGCCCTGTTGCCCAGCAATTCTCGTTTTTGGCAGCTATCAGAACAAGGGGAAATACAAACACTGGATTTTAGAGAACAGTCTGAGTATGATAGAAAGGGCACTAATTTGGTTAACTAATTTGGAAAACAGTTTGGCATATCTCCTAAAGTTGAATATTTGTATGCGTATGATCCAACAATTCATTCCAAGGGATGGACCCAAGGGAAACTCATGCAGATTTACAACAGGAGATGTGTGCAAGAATGTTCATTGCTGCACTGATCACAGTGTGAAAACCTGGAAACAGCTCAAATGCCCATCAACAGGAGAGTGGATGGATGAATTGTAATATATTCACAAACTGACTATCACATGGCAATAAAAACAAATGAACTACGCTAATTCACTACAATGTGGATAAATCCTAGAAATGAAACATTAAGTGAAGAAAGCAGATGTCCTAAAAGTATACAATATCATATAATTTGTATAGAGTTGAAAACAATATAAGAATATACTTTATAAGCTTAAATCTTAGTTCATTCAAACACTGCCTGAAATCTTTGGAAGGATTGACAGAAGAGGTAAAACTTGAATCATAAATATAGTTGGATTGACAGAAAATGAGTGATCTGTTCTACTGTGTGATTAAGCATAGACTGAGGCGGGAATATGTTTGGTGACTAAGAAGATAAAAAGATGATACTGTCAAGAGTACAACTAGACGTGAGCTTTCTAAAAGCTGGTATTGTGTGTTATTTATCCTTGTATCCCCGTGGCCTGGCAAGGTCCCTAGAAAAATAGAGTTCAACAACTGTTTGTTAAGTGGATTAAATAAATGAGTAAAAACATAACTTAAAAAATAATATACTTTATAGAACTACATATAGATGCAATAAAACTATGTATTTAAAAAACAAAGGAATTCTAGATGATGGTTGTATTGAGGGGGGACATGAGGGGAGTGGGCTGGGGGACCCCATGGTTAGATGAAAGTTACAGGGGATAGGGAGTGAGGGCGGAGGGCATTAAGAACAACGAAATTAGTAAGTCAAGACAAAACTGGTTTAAAAAGTGCGATTTCTGAGTGATGATGATGAGGGAAAGGTGAAGGGAGACAGGGAAAGTTTCGGGGAGTAATGCTGGGGATGAATTAGCATCGCTACACCAAGAGCTCTGGAGACACAGGGCTGGTAAGTAGGCAGGTGTGTCTGTTCAGCCACATGGGAGGTCTTCAGGGAGGATGTTTCGAGCAATTGTGCCTTAGAGTAGTCCTTGCAAGGGAGGAGGGTGAAGAAAACTGTCAGACTGGGTCTCTCCAATGCAGAGATAACCACCCCTGGGCACCACTTCTGGGCTGCCTCTGTGGCCCATTTTGGTAGCAGTTAGGTAAATCAGATCTCACAGCCTGTGTTTCAGCTGAGGCTGGAAGTGGTGGGAGAAGCCAACATGTCAGGGTATGTGGCTTATCGGCCCAATGCCCAACAGCAGCAAGGGGAAGGTCCTGACTCTCCCAGGCATGACTCTAGCCGGCCCCAGGTGGAGTGAGTTCCTGGGCTATAAGGGTCACTGAGCCAGAGCCGGGGCCGGAGGGTCTAGGCCAGAGAGGCACCAAGGGAAACGAAGAGGAGCATAAAATGTGTCCTGTATGAGCAGCGGCTGGGGAGGTCAGACCCAGCTTTGAACCCCTTTGTGAATTTGGATACATTTCTTAATTTCCCTCGCTCCTCATAGGGAATGTGTGAATGGTGAAAGCTACCACGTTGGGTTGTGAGGATTCGAAAGAGATGATGTATATAATGCAACCATCAGTCTTTGGCACCTCAGAAGGCCTCAAAAAATGGAACTCCCCTTTGTGCTGCCTCATGCCCTGAAGCTTAAGGGAGATAGTACTGGATGGGGGAGCAGGCCCGGCTTCATTATCCTTCTCTTCTCCTCATCCCACCTCACACTTGTCCTGACCCTGGGCAGCCCAAGGGCATTAGGCATCTGTGTTAGAGGGTGTTAGAGGATGAAAGAGAGAAGGCAATTCCCAACATTGATAGTCCTGGCCTGTACCTCTCCCCTGTGCTCTTGGCTTGTGAAGCTTTTGGGTGTAAAGAGGCACCCCAAAGATGGGTATTTCAAGCAGGCAAAGAATTCGCCACCCCCCTTGCAATGATATTCTTTAACTATCTGTCTAATATATACTTTGGTTGGGGACGGAGCTGGCCCCAGCAGGACAGAGGCACCCCTTTTCCAGTGTGTCAGGAGTTGGACCTGGGGACTGGAGGTCACTGATGCAGATCTCCATTCATTTCAGGGATGTGTTAGCTCCTTGATGACTTACTACCTGTTGACCTGGTCATTCTTTTACGAGTCTAGAGCCCCTCAAAGGGTGACTAGACCTCTCGGTAGCTGATGGATGTCATTTTAATCAGGATCCCCTTTCTTTTTGGTCCTTTAAGAACATCCATTTCCTGGTTTGTCGCCTTACCCAGTTATGTGTGAGTGCTGTCATAACACTCGCAGGTTCCTGCGCTTAAATACTCGCCAGGTCCTAAAATAAATGCATACTGCTGTTTTGGCTGGTGAAATGTAGTATTGCGTAAGTGGAGCTTTCGATTTGGCAGATCTGAACAAGAGATTTAAGTTTTCCTTTCTTGTTCTTAATTTGGTGTCTAATTTGGGGGTAAAATGAAATTATATGGGGATCGGAAGAAAGCTCTCCAAAGGGGCCCTCCTTACCATTAGTGCATATTTTATACATGCCCCAACTCCAAGACACACCTCCTCAGGAGCCTTTTCGAGGACAGAGAACATTCCTAATCACTAGATTGCCTCTCTTCCCTTTGAGTTATCCCCGTGTCCTCCACAAACATGTAAAAAATTCTGCAGGAGTGGCACTCCTGCACACTCTTTGCAAATTTTCTTTGGTCCCCATCCAATGTCCACAGATCCAGTTGGCCCCAACTTCTTTCTAGTGGATAGTGGGCAAGGAAGTAGGACATCATCTAAAGACTTCATACCACTGACTGCAAGTATTACTGGAGAAATAACGTTCTGCCTGCTCCCATAGTACCTCTTGGGCCCGCAAGAGTGAAGCCTGGAATCCTACAATTAGAATTTCTTTCCTTTGGCTAAATTTTGAATGTTCCTAAAAGAACACTGTATTAGAGGACTGGCATTAAAAGGTGTCCTGAGTCATCTCTATCTTTAATGTGAATGGGGAGCTTGGGTCAGTGGAGGCTCTGAGGACAGCTGGAGGATGGGAGGAGGAAGAGAGGCTGTAATTAGGAAAGCTCAGGGCACAAAGAGAGCTTCCACTTTGATAGGAGCCGTCTAGGGCCTACTTACAGGTGGCAAGTAACATTTTGACATTAAATTCCCTCTCTCTTGCCAGCAGAAGTGCTCCCTGCCTTTAACTTTCAAATTAGAAATGTCTATTTATGGTAGCAATGGAAAACCAGGTACATTAGCAAAGTCAGCAGAGGTTGGAAAACCCCTAGAAAAAATACCAGGAAAGTGTCACCCAAAACCCAATTTATTTTTTAAAAAGTTAAACACTAAAAAAAAAAAAGTGAGAGCCAAGAAAAAAGGCTCCTTGAAAGACAGAAACATGCACTATGATATTTTCTGCCCTCTCTTTTTTTGTCCTGTGATATTAGGCCACCCTTTATGAAGGTCATCGTTTCTGAAAATCAATAACTTTAACTAATTGTTAGGATGTCTCCTGAGGCAATGGGAGATAATATGGTAAGGAAACACTAGGCAGTTGCTGAATCAGAGGAAGGGATCATTCCAGAATGCAATTAAGCCCAGCATGGGTGCCCCCTTTTAATCAGATCCCTCACTCTCTGTGGGGCTCACCCTTTGGCCTAGACTTTATTGAGCCACTGGATTAAAGGCATGAGAGCTGAGTCTCATTTTGTTCCATGTTTAATCTTAGAGAAGCCATTTATTCCTTTTACCAATTTTCAGGACGAGTCCTAGGAAGTGTTAAGAATCGGGTGTGAATCGTGATTACTAATGTTATATGGTTCTTTTGCAGTTTGCAAAGCACATTTATATGCATTGTTGCATTTCGTCTTTCGCACCAGTCCACATCATCATTATAGTATTGTCACAGTTTTGCGCCTGGGGAAACCGAAGCTTGAAGAGATTTTGTGACTGGTCTAAAATCATAGAGAAAGGGATGGTTCTAAACTCAGGTTTTCTCCCCCAAGGACTGTTGTTCCACCATTCACAGTGATTCTGAGGAGATGCCAATTGTCCACCACACTCCTCAATCCTAATTTTATTAATAATAATAGTGGCAATAGTGACTGACACCTGGGATGGTCACATGAAGCCAGGTACATCTCATTTCATCCTCATTCCAATCTATGCTATAGATTTTATAACTTAATTTACAGTTGAGTAAACTGAGGCTTGGAGAGTTTAGGTATGTTATCCCAGGTGCATAGCTAGAAAGTGATAGAGACGGGATTCAAATCAAGGCCTGTTTGATTCCCCAGCTCTTAACCACGCTCGCTACTATGACCCTGCTGTATCCTTTGGCTGCTCTTTCAAGGTTTCCACCCCCTTCCAAATGTCTGATTCAACAGAGCAGAAGCACACAGAGTGCTTGCAAGGTCAGAGAACAGACTACAGGCTATAGGAGGACATGGAATGGACCATGGGTCTTCCAGGACTTATTCCAGTGGGAGACATAACTGACCTGTGGAGCAAAGTTGTAACAACAGATGCTTCAGTCGGGGGGCAGGCATGGAGCTCGTTGGGGGTACAGGGAAAATGGGACTGACCAACCCACACTGAGGCATTAAGTCCCTCCCAAGGGACTCACTATGGATCCTCTAGCCTGAATCATTCACTTTTTAATAGCAGGATGGGGTGCTTAACCCCCAGGCATGCTTTACTAATAACGCCCTATGGCAAGGCAGAAGGGCAGTGTCATCAGCCGGGTGTGAAGGTAGCAGCCCGTTCTGAACACGGCAGCATGGACCCAGGACTGTAAGGCCCCCTGCTTGGTTACAGATGCTCCAGAGCTGAGTAAATCCTAAAAGATAAACTTTGAGGTAAAGGCCATAATACACTTAAGTGCTACTTGGGGTTTGGCTTCGGTTGAAAACAATCAAATGTCCCCAGCCACCTTTTCAAGATATTTAGCTCCTTTCCTCCCTGAACGATCCTGGCAGACGGGTGTGGGAAGTTGGTGAGAGAAGGTCTGGGAACAAGACAATTTGTCCAAATCCATGAAAAGAAACCCTTTGGAGATTTGGAGGAGGTGGGAGAATCCATGTGTCTTCCGTCTTCCACCATTCCCTGGGAAGAAGTAGAGCAATTTTTCTCTCTGTCGAGGCTCATGGGTCTCAGCCCTGGCTACACATTAGCATCAGCTGGGGGACTTTTTCGATCTACCCATGCCTGGGACCTACCACCCCAAAATCTCCGGGGGTGTGGCCTAGGTACTGTAATTTTTATAAGCTCCCCAGAGGATATTACTGCTCTAGAATTCCACAATCAGAAACAAAAGAACTGACACAAGCGTCCAATTAAACTTTCTACCATTCTGGTGCGTTCAGAAGGGAAACAATCATTATAGGTTACTTTTAAAGAGGGGAAGAGAGGCAGAGAGCAGAGAAGCAATTTGTCAGGACAGAGGGCTGGTGAGGGCAGGGGTGAGGTAGGAGGAGCCTCCTTTTCTTTTTGCTCTCACACATCCTTTCTTCTGGTAGTATATTACAATATCAGTAGTCCTGAAGGCTTAGCTTTCTATGTTCCCAGGCAGGAGGTCTCTACTCCTTCCCTGGAGTGACCTTTCCAATGATAACTATACCACTGTTTTAATGTGTTTCCTGGTAAGGAAAACCCACATCTTTCTTTTCTAAACCTCAGCTCTTTGCAAGCCC